CGTTATCACTGGTAACCAATACCGTGACTACCTTGAAAACTAAGTCTAATTACTTGATGCAGTTTACGGTAATACCTCTACTTTTTGTGGTGGAAAAATAGTGATTCACTTTCTTTGGTAACGTTTGTTGATGCTTCTCTTAGCAACGAAATGAACATGGTGGAAAATTTTCGATCGGCTTGTGCAATGTCTCCAAGGGCAACCCATCTTCAGTAAAAATGTTTCTTCTTCAGTAATACGATGAATTCGACCAATATAACCAACGAAGGATTGGGAACTTTCTTTCTGTACAAGTTGAAGGTGAAAGGCCTGATATCATAGAGCTCTGTGCCATGTCAAGTTGTAAAATGAGCTCATCACACTTACAGAGTCTAGAAAAGGTTATAATGGTGGCTCAATTACTTAACAGAGATTGGCTGTCGTACCAAATACTGTAAGGTAAAACAAAGACGTTCATGGCATGAGAAGTGCGACTGGACGAGCGTTATAGTAGCGGTTCAACTTCACATATTCCCATCATGTCGAACTAAAGTGCACTATTGTTCTGCAAGTTCCCATAGTTCCTATGGAATTTAAAAAATGAACATTTCTTGGTTTTGAGGCGCTTGGGAATAGGGGACAGCCGTCACGATAAAGTCATGCTCAAGCCAATAAATCAAAGCTTCTTTGACTAATTAGCCTTCCTGATCTCCATCGCAGCTGAAGTGACTGGTCACTCCTCCTTGGCCGTCTCTGGGAAAAGATGAAGGCAAGGGTGAAACCAACAGAATCGCTTTCACCCTGCTGCTGATAGTACGTCATAAGTTGAACAATGTGAAAACTCTATTTTAACAGCCAAAGTTGGAGTGGTTGCCCATGGTTGAAACAGGAATGGCCTGTTCTTCCCTGCTCAACTGGGATCAAACCACAGTCACTATCTCAAGCAGCCAATTCATTTTGGTTGTTCCTTCCATCGCTAGATACCTCCGACCTAATCTGTCCCTCACTAAGGATACCTCTATTTCTGTGAACTCCTTTTAATATGAGCAGCAAACCAAATGCGGTATAAATCAGAAAAAAGAAGTATCTTCTCGCAACAACAGTACAGATATCTAGTTTTTTCAGACCAAGTTCACCGCCGTATTCGATTTACTACTACGTGGTAACGATGTCCTAAAACATATCGATGCAGGAACTTGCTTCATTCCAGGACCCATTTTTGTACGCAGAATCATCGGTTATGGTGGGTCATTTTACCCTTCCTGCAGAGGTGCAAAGTGAGCAAGGAGCATAAAAAAGTTGATAATTATTACCTTTTGCCTCAAGTTACGAAATATTCCGGGATTTTTAAGTAGTATCTTTACTGTCCTGCGGGAGTGGTGTAATGTCGAATTTCGCATTATCACACACGCGTGATCCAGAGTTCGAATTCCGTGTAGGTGAAAGCCTAGGTCGACTTTACCTCCATCCTTTCAAGGACGGTCAAGTGGTTCCAGATTTGTGTAGGAAAATAACAAGACTTCTTTTGCAATGAATGACCACCGCAAGTCATTGTTTAGGTCACATACGCGTTCAAATCGACACTACGATTCTGAGTGAAAGTCGAATGCGTGGGCTCATTTCTGAAACGAAATTGTTCAGCGTCAGAGACCTTATGGAAAATCTTGCATTTTTTGATTGAATAGCGGTGCTATGTGCTGAGTAAGCGGATTCTGATAAAAAAAACTACTAGTTCTATAACTTTTCCTGATTTTATTTCTATGTTTTTATTGGTCTGCTGAAAGTTGCACGTGGAAGGGAAGCCCGTCGTTGCACGAGTTCAACTAGAATGAACCTTCTTGCCGAGGTCTGATCTGGGAATCTGGTTTAATTCTAATTTTTGTAAAGAATGTACATAAAAAAAAACAAAATGTGGTGAGTGGCTGCTTTCATAGTTCACGATTTGGCGAGCGAGCCGTCGCGCGACTGATCGCTCGGCGGCGCCCATGGAGAACGTCCGTTGCGCCTGTCCGCCGAAAGTAGGTCACCCCGCCCACTTCGCGCGCGGCGCATCACAATGAGGTCTCGAGACGACATTACAGTACCACCAAGTGTCATTGGAGCAAATGATTTGCATTTGTCAGTGTTATCCTCNTCTTGAACTGACTGCCGTGGACCAAACGCAAAGCGTATGCCCCAGTGACAATTGCGACGTCTGTCAAATATCTCGGGCCGACTCGCCGCGTACGACGGCTGCGGCGTGACCTAGTTTCGACGGACACGCGCAACGAAGCGCACCCCGGCGCCCATGGCTAGCGCCGCCTTCTCGACCGATGCGCGACTAGTCGCTCGGTCTCGCTCGATGGGTCCACGACCAGTCGCGCGACTGGTCGCTCCCAAATTGTGGATTATGAAAGCAGCCAATGAGAGAGAGGTGCGAACTAAAAAATTAAGGAGCTCATATCGCAATCCCGTATCATTCAGAAACTGAAAAGATGGGAAGAAAAATATTGGTAGGCGATACTATGTATAGTAGGGGCTGTTCTGTGAAAACGCTAGGTAGTAAAGTGAAGTGGTGATGGAGCGGTGGAGTAGTCTGAAGTAAAAGGCTGAAGAATCACGCAAGAGCAATTTTCGGGGATGAATGTTCATTTTTTTTAGCCACTGATTATCAAGGCTCNAAAAATATTGGTAGGCGATACTATGTATAGTAGGGGCTGTTCTGTGAAAACGCTAGGTAGTAAAGTGAAGTGGTGATGGAGTAGTCTGAAGTCAAAGGCTGAAGAATCACGCAAGAGCAATTTTCGGGGATGAATGTTCATTTTTTTTAGCCACTGATTATCAAGGCTCTGTGAAACGAAAGAGCGGTTTCAGCGCCATCCATCTGCGTAGAGATACTTGTCATGTTCGGTCGTATGTGGGGTTGCACGAGATGAACTCAAGGAGATTTCGTTATTTCCAGGCATAATGTTCGCTCCCACATTCATCGTAACTGCATTCGCTTCTTACACGATGTATGTGATGATGATCCGCCACAAACTGCCTTTTCGCGATCTGCTCAAACCATCAAGTGACTGGATGGTCCATACAGCAGTGAACACGGTAAGCAACTTCTGTGGCCTTGCTGCATAAGACTGCTTTAATCTTCTGAGGTTCAGACTAGACCACGACCCCATTCTCTCGCTTATGGGCTCTACAACAGCCTGTTCCAAATGAGCTACGAGAACGCATTCTTCGGATTGTTCGTCATCGAGCTTTTCTTCGGTATTGCGATATTCTGCGTGTTTGCGTTGAACTCGCTCTCAATCATTGGTAAGTGTTAAAGCAGCGTATCCAGCAGATTCCATGCTATTCGTTTTTTCAAAAGTAAAGTTGAATGAATCCCTCGGGGTTATCCAACTACTCTCAGCATTCTGAGTGTCCGATATTTTGGGGAAGAAGTATTATCTTAAGCTAGTGATGGTATGTTTGGGGCAAATTTGGTGCCCATGATGGCTTAAAGGTTACAACGAACTGCATGACTTGCCTAGTCCAAACTTTTTCCTGAGTTGATCATGGTTTCATGGTTAAGTATTCCACAATCATACCAAAAACCTCAAAACCTTTCGACACTGAGGTGCAAAAAGGCTTACGGCGCAATCTGGTTCTTAATTGTCGCGAGCTCTTCGTTTTCTGCATCCTATTTATTTACTTGTAATACTTCTGCAGATCAGCCATTCATGTTCATGTTCATTGTTTCACACCAAAGAACTTCTCTCCAGACAAATTTTTAAGGCAAATCTTTCCAATTTCATTTTTTTTGGTGCCAAATTTGTTTTCGATCCCAAATATAAGGACATCATCCATGCCAAAATGAATGGGCTGTTTAGGGGTTATCGCTTAGATGCGCCAATGACTCCGAACTTGAATTTCAGACGCATTTTCTTTAAATTGTTGCACTCTAGGAACAGCTAATGGTCGAATTTTCACATCTCGTTATCTCCTGCTCTCTTGCTTTGGAAAGACTTAGGTTTTTTGTAGGGATATAATCATGAAATCTGAATAGCACGCTTATTTTTGAAACGGTACTTAGGCGAAGTTCAAGGTCACTCAGGTGAACTTCAGGGTCGCCTGTACGCCTGTATGTATAACCACAGCACTTGCTTTAAAATGTAGCCTATTTTTGAATAAGACCTGAAATCTCATCTATTCCAGGCTTTTCGGCATCTCATACAGCCAACGACTATCGTGCTTTGATGTTGTTCACTTTTGTGCTATTGCACGGATATGCCTTAATCGAAATGCGAAAATGCCAAATGAAAGAGCAACAACCGAACAGGTGGGTACCATCCATGGCATTTCTTTTTGCCTCTCTTTGACGTTTTCATGTTTAGATTGATGCTATACATCGGTGTTGCCACGATGGAGACAGCGATGCTGAACGGCTACATGTGGATGTATGCCTCCGACCATTCCTGGGGGATTGATGTCGCCCCTCTGATCATCATCATCTGCACCACGTGTTCGTCCCTTTTCTTTCTAGACCACTACTTGCAAACTTGCCTGCCGCATGGCTACAGGTTTTTGTAGGCATGTCTGGCAGCAGGCGCTGTCGTCTAGGATACGGGAAGTTTCAAAATGATTACTAATCCTGAAAAAAGAATGTCATCAGGCAATGGCTATAACGGAAGGGGGGGAGTGTCTTTTAGGAGGTCAACTCTACAGTCCAATGTCCGAATTGGTAGTGAGGTGGAGTAAATTGACGAAATTAATGCTCTTATAGAAAAAGTGTATTAGTTTTGCGATCAATACAATTACAGTATTTGATTCGTATAGAAGATTCGTCATAGCCAGCCTCTTGATTCAATAGATGATTCATGTAATGGGAGGAATGCTCGTACCAGCACCCCTCAATTTCAATGGAATCTTTCGGAGCACTTTGTTGGTAGAGGGATTCAGTTGCCTTGAAAAACGAAACAAAAACATTGGTGAATTTGCCCAAAGACTGTCATGCACATCAGTTCCATAGTGCTCAAATATGCACCCCAATACCGCCATTCCTCTGTTATGGTATTTGGTCAGCTGTTTGTCATATTACTAAGCTAGAGGCAATCCCTCTGGCCCCTATGAAGATGATCCCATGCAAATTTAAGCTACTTCAGGTGAACCTAGCATTTGGTGACTGGTGTTGGTGCCACTTACGATTTCAGGGCGTCTTTTTTAGTATACAAAAGCAAGTGGAACGCGTGCCATCCAATTCTCTCTCCAAGATAAAGCTGCTTTAAATGAGCCAAAGAAACTTACAATGATTAGTAGTACTTCGCGATATCAAGTGGGCCCTGCTATCTCGATGTAGTAATATCGCACAGAAAGTTCATTGTACCCAAGTTCATTCATTTTTTTGGAACGACTTTCATCAAATCCTCGATGTGTAGAACCTCGTATTCCTAAGTGGTCTTCCGATCGCGCAGGGCACAGGCCACAAGAACTCATGCCTGACGTTGCCCCAGATCCACTGTAGGGTCAGAATTGCTTTTCAAGAATTTCCATGTTTGCGACAAGCATCTACAAATCCTAAGTTGAATATTCGTGATCTGGTTACCTCTCATTATAATCCTCTAAGCCTTGAGTGCAGTCGTCATAGTGTTAGCTTTTCGCACTTTGAATTGTAGATGGATCTCGAACGACAATTTTGTGGGGTAGCAATTTTATAGCCCTATACTATCACCCCTCACTGTGCCTGTTGATTCCATGGCTAACTTCTTATACACCATGCGTGTTTCGTCTGGTGATCATCTCATCTTTCAGTAATTCGTGGGTGCTGCATTCTGCTTGGAATCGCGATCCGTGCCCATCTCCAGGACCAGATCCGTCCGACTCGAACACGAGATGCTACAGAGGTATACCTATTCATATGTACTAATACTTCGCCCTACTCTGTAGGCAAGAGCACTATTTCATGAGCTTTCCACATTATATAACGTATCCCGTGATATCCTTTTTTGCAGATCTACGAAGTAGATACAGTACTAGCAATGGATGCTGAAGATGACTCACCAATCATTTTTGACCTTGCTCGAGCTTGAATCATCAGTTTGATCATTTCTGATCTTATTTTCATATTGATTAGTATTTGTGATGTATCTCTTGAATCGTTGCTGTATCATGATGTGCCGAACTGTTGCTGACATTTTTCCAATTTACTCTAATGAGGCCTTACTGCTTCGCTTGTTATGACTAGTCGTATGTTTTGAGTATGCTCTCGATCCAGTTCATGTGAATGTTCCTATCTGTACTCTCGCTTAGCTTACTTTACAACATTTCCATACATGTGGTTAGTGATAACTATAAGCGCAGCTATTTTCTATACCAGGAACGCAGGATCGATTTCGTCTTCGTGACATATCCCCTTATCTCAGATGCTATATGCCTACCGGTACTGTTGAACACTGTGTTAAACTATGAAGTATAAAGAATTAATAATTTGGTTATAAGAATAAGAGAGATTCAGTCAAAACTCCAAAGTGGGCGGGCTTTGCGCTGAAGTGGGCGGGGCTAGGATGAAAAACCCATAACTTTGAGCAAAAATGTCCTAGAACGCGGAAAAAGTGACAACGATATTGCTCCAAGTGAGTATTCTTTCAGAGGTTTCGACAATTGAGCCTTTTTCAAAAACTTCTACATAGGACTTCGTGAGCGTTAATGTTTATTCGCAGCTGAGCCACCAATGGCAGATTAACCACATCTAGCCAGGTAATTTATGATGTAGCAGATATATGTGCTAAGGCTGAAGAGTAAGTAAAGGGCACATACTTGCGCTCCATAGAAGCATCCTATAATCAGGAGTATCATAAGTGTTTCGGAGGATAGCTCCCTC